TGACAAGAACCAAGCCAGAACTTGAGAGCCTTATATTCAGTGACCTCCTCTGGGAAGACACTGCCACAAACACTGCTGGTCATGGGAGGACAAGTAGGTTTGACAGGATGAGCATTGTGCCTCTTGTAGATCTGGTGTGTACTGTGAAGCTGCAAGGCTCTGAGGGAGCAGCACAAAAGTCCATTGATGCTTTTCTGGCACTGTCTGAATGAAAGTTTCACTCAGGGCCAACCGGGCAGGGACAATGAATGGCATCATTTAGAGCCCGCCTTCAAGCAGGACTGGGGCAGGAGCGTTTTCGTGTCTGTGCTCCACACGGCCCTCCATACACTTGGGAGCTTGGTCTATGTTAGAAAGAAAGATGCACACTTAGAGACATGAAGGGCATTGGGAAGGAGAAAAAATGAGGTCCAGAACTTTCAGCATCGCTAAAATTCTGTTGCTAATGAACAGGAGGCCTGAAGGGCACGGAGCTCATTAGTGATTTCCGTGGAGAAGTCTGGGGCGATGGTCGAGAGAAGAGAGAAGGAAATGGGAAAGCTGCCAGTTAACAGCAGGAGCATCTAAATCATCACACGTAGAACTGGAAAAACAGCACAGCATTTTACCCTCTGTAGAAAAATAGTAATGAAAGAAAGCCTTCATTGAGTAGATATGTGGAATGTCTTAAGTCAGGCTGTTAAATAAATAGCTGCTGTTTATGAAGACAAGAAGAGAAATAACCATTCGTAATACTCAGAAGGGCAGGGAGCAGTGGTCGTAGGGTACAGGGCATTTGCAATTCTAGGTCACCTAGTCAAAAACACTCCAAGTAGAGTCAACTCAGTAATAATCATCCTGTGGCCCTCAGTCTGTAGCAAATAGGAAGCTTGGCCTGTTATAATACCGTTTGACCTTATCAAAACCAGCTACGGAATACAGTGCTTACCAAGCAAGCACAAGGCTCAGTGTTCCATCCCGGGCACCATGTAAACTGGACATGGTAATTCATGACTGTAAAGCCAGAGTCTTGAGAGGTGGAGGCAGAAGGATCTGAAGTTCAAGATCACCCTCAGTGGCATAATGAGTGTATAAAGTCTAAACATGCAAAAGGATTACAGTGCAGTTCCCACCAGGACACTAAGGCGGAAGAGCCAAATAGTGATAAATACTCAGGAGTTGAAAGAAGGGCAAGGCCACCGGGGTGAGTGCTGCTTAGTTAGACTGCTAAGACATGAGAGCTCAGGAGCTAAACAGAGTTCAGGAGGCAATGCAGTTGAGATTTGGAGAAATGAAAAAAAGTAAGGATCCAGGAAGTAGTGGCTTATCTGTGTTACCACAGTGTCTAACAGTTCCTCAGAGGGATTTAGTACTTGGATTCCAACTCAACCATATTACTACCAAGTTAATTAACCCCTCTACACCCAGTTAGCTCATGAATAAAGTGGGGATGATACTATTACTTGGTGCAAACTATCAAGAGAATTAAACACAAGCATTAGTCAACCGTGATGTTCTTCGCAGTTGGCCCATAACTGAGCCTCAGATCTCAGTACCCATCTCAACGCATAACCCCAAAGTGCCATTCTTAATTATATACGCCTATATATAGGCCTTTTCATTACTTCTGATGGCAAAGTCTAATGATAGATTTTTTTCTAGTTTCAACTCCATCATAGCTTTTCTTACTGTATGAGAATTTCATATATGTATATAATGAATTTTAATCAAATCTACCCCCCTTCCATCCTCTCCAAATTATAAACACATACTTAAAGCTTATAATTCCTTTCATAAATCAGTTATTTTTTAAAGATTTATTTTTAATATTTTAAATTATGTGTGTGCTTGTGTGGGGGTATATTTACATGGGTACACATGCCTATGTTGGCCAGAGGCATTAAATATCCCTGGAGCTGGCAACTGACCTTCAGTCTACTGCAGGAGCAGTATGTACTCTAAACTGTTGAGCCATGTCTCCAGCCCCTGAGTTATGTTGTTGTTTTTTTTAAGTATTTTTCTACCTTTTTAAAAAAAATTTAATAACCACATGATTAGAAGAAGCATTTCATTACAGCTTTAACATATTCAATAACAATTTCCAGAGCAAAGATATATCTCTTTCAAAAGTGGTTGTAAATTTTTAGGTTCACAGTTGACCTAATACAGTTATACAATATTGGACTCAGTATAAACTTTGTAAGACATAGAATTGAATGAGTTTTTAACCTTTAAAAAAGATCTCCATTTCATTTTAAAATATGCTGTTTCCTACAGAAAGACTCATTTTTAATGCTACTAACACTTAGATCTTTACACATGTGTCTGTAATCTCTATGTATCTGATTATTACTAGTCACAGTCGGTTACACTCGGATCCTTGGCACCTGAGTATGGATATAATGTCATCAGGTAGATTTCAATGGTAATGTTTATCACCTCTACCAATTAACATGAAGTAAGTTTTTATGATTCCTCCTCAAATATAAGTCATTTTTTATTTGTTGATTGTTTTGTGTGTATATCATACAGAACATCCCAAATTATCTTATTCATCTACATACCCACTTCTCAAATGGCACCCTCCCATAGCCCTCCCCTCCACTGGAGCCCATGTACTCTGTCATCCCTGTTACTGTCCACTCTGTTGTCAGTGCCCCCAGCCATTCCCCAGTGTTTGTCCATCTGCTGAATCTAGTCAGCCTATCTAGAGGTCTTTGTTTTAGGAAGGTCAGCTGTTCTTCATCTAGCAGCAATCAGTTATCAATATTCCTTTAGATAAGATTGGGGTCTGCGGTTCATTTTCCCAGTTCTATGCTGGGTTACTGTCTAGGAGTCTTTTGAGTTATGTTTTTTGATTCACAGTTTCCAATCTCTTCTAGACTATCCTCATTAGTGCACACCACCTATACAGAAAGTCTCCTGAACATTTGATTGGTCTCTTGGAGCAGGCTTCAAAATATAGTTTTCTCATTTTTATGTGGTTTAAGGTTTCGGTGAGGCAGGCAGAGGTGAAGAGTCATTAACTGCCTTGCACAGAGTGACTGGAAGCTGAACTCCCCAATCTTGTCTTCTTGTCAGCTGAGAAGGCAAAGACCCATGACAATCGTCCCAGTTGCCTTCATCATTTCCCTATATCATTTAGCCAATTCTCACTCACTGAGCTAAGAAAACCCAGGAGTTCCCCAATGTTAACTGCGTGAAGGAAATTCACAGGGGATTTAGTGCATGGTCCCATCTAACATACAGTCCCTGTCACTGCCTTCTGAGGCAAGTTGGAAGTACCTCACACCTTGGTTCATCTTAAGGCATGTTCCTCACATGAACTAAAGTAGATGCTGGTAGAGCCAGAAGACCTGGGAAGAAAACCCTATCTGTCCAGGTATCTTCCATAGGAAGCCATCAGCCGCTGTTCTGGTTCAGTGAAGAGTTGCATCTGTGTAATACTGTAGCACTCTGGGTAGCAGGGGTAAAAAGTCTCTTACTTTGGAATGGTCAGCAACACTGTCAGTAAAAAGAAGAATGGGAATAGTTGGATCTGAACATTCCTGCCTTCCATGGTTCCAAGGAGATGTTTGCAACACAGCAACACCAGACCCCAGGAATGGGAAGACAGGATGGGAGTGGGAATAGACCTGGAAGGAGTCCGTCCAGACAGTTTACCGGGAAGATTACGCATTGCGTCGAGCATAGAGAGGAGGAGAGTCTGCAGGGCTTGACAATGAAATGCTGATGAGCTGCTCAGCTGCAGACCATTATTTACCCACTTTGATTCGCGGAAGCATAAATAATCAAAATGATACATAAATTTAATTGCTGGTGTCGTGTAGTTATTTTTGAGGGACAGCCACAAATCTGAGATCTAGTATTTAACAAACAGCTCCGGCTACCTTCTCAGACTAAACACATAGTGTGTTTTCCAGGCTGTAATTTTATAAAAACAAAATGTCTTTAGAGGGAGAACAAGCTAGTACTATTGCTTTAAAAATCACTTTAGGAAAAGTTTCCTTACTAAACTAAACTAAAACATAGACAATCTAATCCATTTTGCTGGCTGGCCCTGATTCGCCCCTGCAAAAGCCATGTTATTACCATCACTCCGTTGCCATCCTACAGGAATTTGTGTCTTCTCTCCAATAGCCTTTGGGAGCAGGTAAACTCTGCTTCATCCTTCTGAGGGCCAAAGTTTGCAGACATTGTGGTCCTGGACGCTTTCATACCCTACAATTATTCAAACACCAAGGGCTTTCTGCTCTAGCTATTGACGTTCACTACACTGGAACGCAAACATGTCTGTATAAAAATGGTCTGAAAACAAAACGAAGATTGGGGAGCAAGCTTTGTCTAGATGAGTAAGAGGGCTGGATTCTCAGATGTGCATTCTTATCCAGTCTGCCCAGTAGTAATTTTTTTTTAACTGAAGAAGGTGAAGACCATCCAGCCTCATAAACGTAGGTAGAGAAAGTTTTTAGTGCCTTTCTGAGAGAATTATGGATGCTCTTCTACCATTCTACAAAAACCCAACAAGTAGTCATTTCTTTAAGATTAGTTATAATGTGATATCTGAAATATTTTCAATGAAATTGTTGTATTGTTACACTAAAATCCACTGGTCTTTCATACATTCAAAATGAAGTTTTTGGCCATGAGTGCTTTTCATAAGATTGTACATTGATCACTTATACTTGTTCATTTGTAACATCAGAAAAATTTATAAAGATCTTAGATCAGTCACTGAATATTCTTGAAATACAAAAAGCTTTTAAGCTCATGGTGATAGGTGCAAGTGTTCCAAAATTACTAATTTCGCTTTAAAGCTTGTATTTTGACATTGCTAGTAGACACTGCTGACCATTTTCCTTGAAGAGATTGGCTCACTTTTGTTCATTTTGGAGAAACCATGTAATGAAGTATTAATAACCATGGCTTGACATTTTCTACTTAAAAAATGGTATTCTGGAAAAAAAAAAGTGGCTAACTAGCTCACAATCCAAATAATTACACAAGAACTTCCCCTGCAGATAACCACCATACTCTGGCATGGAACAAAAGAGGTCCCCGCGTGCTTCACACAGAGCGCTACAGAGATGAGCATTGACGGGAAAAGGTAATAAAGTTAGTGATTGTTCGGTACTTAACCAAAGTCTTTTAAAAAGTTGCTTTTATACCTTCATTTGTATAGTTATTATACATTTTATTATATTGTGTAGCAAAGAGCTCAGTGGCTTCTGATCTAACGCAGAGCTACTCCCTTAATTTGTGCCCAAGGTACCCGCAGTTTCACTTTCCCAGAGTGTGTGCAGCATAAGAGAAAATGCAATAGTGTCAGAGTGGCTAAGAAGACAGTCTGAGCTTGAGAATACTGTGAAAGTGTCTCTAGGGCCATCCTAGAATGGTTTGAGAATGCCTAGTCTAGAATATTTTAACAAATTTCTAAGCCAAAATAATTTGAACATTAAGTGTAAAGAGTAGGAATATCCAAATTGGTGCCCACAGCTAATTTCTTTTTCATAACTGATTTGTGATACCGGCATGCACCACAAAACATTGCACTCAGCAAGTTGGTCATCTCATAAGATCATAATGGATACTTAAAAATTCCCATTGCTGAGCCAGGAGTGGTGGCATATGCCTTTAAGCCCAGCACTTGGGAGGCAGAGGCAGATGGATCTCTGTGAGATCAAGGCCAGCCTAGTCTAATAGTGAGTTCCAGACAAGCTGGAGCTACAGGCAGACCCTGTTTCCTAGTGACATCGTAGGCATCATACTGTTATAACACGATGCATTCCTCACATGCTTCTGGTGAGGCTGGTATAGATGAACCTACTGCACAGACCACCATACAAAAGTATAGTACTTACAGGCACGTGTAATACACAGTGCTCAAGACAGGTAACAACGGACTGTGTTACTGGTCTATATGTACCACTCTACACTTCATCATTATTTTAGGATGGGCGAACTCCTACTTATTTTGGAACAAGGGAGGGATTTATAATAAAACAGTAAGCCAACTTACACTGGCAGCAGCCTCATAACCCTATTTACTGTATCTCTTGATTATATCAAGAAGTCACAGTGAATGGTCGATCATTTGCATAAACCATTCAGGTTTATGTAAATAAACTCCATGAAGCTCACAAAATGATGAATTGCCTAATGAATCAGTTTTCAGAACACATCTTCATCATTAAGCAATAAGTATCTATAAATCCAATAAAAATATCAAGGTACAGAGATGATATATTCTTAAAATAAAGTCTGCTCCTCTTGCCCTATACTTTTGCCGTAATTCTTGATTACTTAAAGTTCTCTGTGCTTCAGGTCTTGCAGCTCTAAAGTGGACATGATACATGCACCTACAAATATTTTATTTTTTCCACAATTGTAAGTTTTCATCAAAGACCTTTATGACACGTAAATGTGAAGTTATTTATGATAGTTTTGTGGAACAAATTTAACTGCATAGGGTGTGTTGGCATGATTGCACCTGTAATCAATTGAGAGACTAAGGCAGGACTATTGCTGTTAGTTTGAGACCAGTCTGAGCTACACGGAGAATCTTCAGTCTGAGCTGAAAAGTGAGACTCCATCTCAAAATAATTCTTTTTCAGTATCTCGTGTGTGTGTGTGTGTGTGTGTGTGTGTGTGTGTGTGTATGTATATACACATGAAGGTATCTCTTCTTTAGTGTTTTGACATCACAAAGCTATATGATAGCTTCTTTCTAAGACACCCTTTAAAGTAAAGTTACTTCTGGCAAGGCAAAATTTGAAATGAAATGTTAAGAGCCTTAAAATTAACACCTGCTACATTTTTATCTGTAGGAAAAGGACAAGGATAGCTCCAGGAATTTGTTTGAAATGATTGACTAACTCAAAATGATGACGGTTCTGGTAGAAAAGTTTGCAAGTTTCACTATGGAGCTTCAGACTTTGACTGAATAGCACAAGGTGCTGCTCTTAACATGCTTTGACATTTCCCTTTACTAGAACCATTTTCAAAGAGCTAGGGAACAGCGCTATTAGCAAAAATATTTAATTTCACTGAATATTCCTCTGGGTGTCAGCTGGCATGGGATGAGACGCACACTCAGTAGGAATTCCTAAATCTGAATGAAGGCTTTGAAATTGAGCAAAGGTTCAGACTTCACAAAAATGTTGCCATCCTTCTGGCATGAGCTTTAAGAAATTCCTCTGCCAGTGTTTACACAGCTTTAGAAGGGCTCCATGCTTTATGATCAGATTAGCCTCTTTTCCTCCTGCCAGTGCCTGACTCCCAGGTCCGCATGTGGAAACAGTTCTCCAGGAGCAGTAACTGAACCTGGTGCTTCGGGAGCTCTTCCAGTCTAATCCAGAGCACTCAGTCTCTAAGAAAGGCAAGTCAATTTGAGAGAGACTGGATTTCAGATGAAATCTTATTCTGGAAAGCTTAATAATGAAAAGACTTGTTACCTTATACTACAGCAATATTTGAAAAAAAAATCCTACCATTCCACATACCTAAAGACCAAGAAAACATCAGTTGGGTGTTTTAGATAATAACTATCATATCAAAATTTAAGTCGTATATAGGATGGAAAGAGCTAGTCAGGCTGGGCTACATCACCTTCCGCTTGTCTGCTATGTGCTTCTAAGCTGCCGTTCATTTTAAAATGAGAGCACAATGGAGCAATGGTAAGAGAGTCAGTCCTAGTCTCAAAACAAAACCAGAAAATTAAAAACCAAGAAAGGTCACCTGCAGAGGGGAGACGACATTTCACCCAAGCAATTTCCGGATGTTGAGCCAAGGGCATGTTTGTTGGATAGAGCAATATGATCAAGAGCTGTGTGGTCAGAAAACATGATGGAAATGCATCTGTCTAAACAGAAGCTGTCAATCAAAAAGTCTTAATACGCACAGCCTGCTGCTGTGTTAATGTCTGATCGCTAGATGACAATGTTAATTTCAGCAATTTTTTTGAAGATTTTTTTATTTGTTATTTTTATTTAAGTGCACTCGTGTCATGCAGTGCCCACACAGGTCAGAAGAGGCTGTCGGATTCCCTGGAACTGGAGTTACAGACAGTTGTTAGCTGCCATGTGGGTGCTGGGATTCGAACCCAGGTCTTCTGCAAGAACAACCAGTGTTCTTAACCGCTGAGCCATCTCTTTCAGCAATGTTTTGTACAAGTCACAACACTAAAAAAAGAGCCACCACAAAGGGTGACATGTTCTGTGAAAAAAAAAGGCGAATAGCAGCAGGATGATCTTAGCTCTAGAAAGGAGAGATTATGAAGCCTTGCCATCTCCCCTAGTGTCAGCAAAAGTATATTATATACATAGAAACTAGGTAGTGAGTGAATGCTTAAGCAGAATAGAGAAAGTGCTCAGGATTATCAGCAGAGAACTTGGGGAACTGCAGCTTGCCTTGGTGCAGGGCCAGTGATGCCCTTTCTCGCTTACTTTCTGCAGTCCCTTTGAGCTCAACTCAATCCTGGTATAAAATGACGGCTGGAAGCAGTATTTCACTTTTATAACTTTCAGAACTTTTCTTGCAGTCAAATATCTGGGGTTTTGCCCATGTTTGTTTTTGCACCTCCTCCTGCTACACAGCAACCCTACCTTCTGCAAGCCAAGACCAGACAGAGTCTTGGAGGCAAGTTCCAGATGGCTGACAGTACAGATTCGGATACAAAAAGACAAGTCTCTTGTCCTTTCTCTTCTTGGCAGCAGAAGGGTGGTTATTCTGTAATGTAACACTTGAAACTCTGCCTGGCTTTCACTAAAGATAAGCAAGTTTCCAGCACTGCAAAAATTGGGAGGACACAATATTCAGGAACCCAACAAGTGTTGCAAGGCCTTGTCCTTGTCTGTCTGGATGGTTCTGGTAAGAGCTGGCCCCTCTCCATTATGTTTTCTTCATTTCCTGAACCTCTGCACATTCCAACAGTAGTTGTGATAGAAAAGTAAAGATAAAATGAAAAAAAATAAAAATAAAACCTTGCAATTAGTTGATAAAATGAGAGAAATGGTTAGGCTTCCAGTAAAGAAAGTAAGAAAGAAACCACTAATTGGATTTAGACCAAGTATGTTAGGTCACGTCATAAATGTCAAAATTCAGATGACATAGTCATAGAAGTATGAAAGGCTTCATTAGAATTAAAAGGTGAGATTCAAATATTTATCCCTTCAAATACTTTGATATTTATGTTCTGTTGAAGTCATGAGATGCTTTATAGCCCTGCTGTTGATACATCATGATAACTTTAGACATAGTGCCTGTAAGTTACCTAGAGAATCACACAAACAGAACTATGGAGAATAAAAACCATAATCTTCTAATAGCTAAGGCCCTCCTCCTTTTTCACACCACTGTTGAGAAATTTCAAATGCCTACCATTCTACTTTGGCAAGAATCATTTGGATACCATCGACTTGTTAAGGGTCTATAATGACTCACAAATGTTCTTCAGTTAAAAGCAAAACTCAAGCCAGGCGTGGTGACTCACTCCTTTAATCCCAGCACTTGGGAGGCAGAGGCAGGGGGATCTTTTTGAGGCCAGCCTGGTCTACATAGCGAGTTCCAGGACAGCTGGGGCTACAGGGAGACCCTGTCTCAGAAAGACAAAAAATAAAAATAAAACTCATAATTGTAGCTTTCCAGACCCATTATCTACAAAATTCATCTGAAATTTATTGCACACCTAGTACATGTCTGACATTTCCTAGGCATGGAGAATATAGAGATGAAGTATGGATTTAGAGTGTTAAACAATATAGTATTAAAAACGAAATGATACATATATGATCCCCCACAGATCCATGTCACTAGTTCGATGAAACCTTGGAGACAAGACCTCTGAACCCTAAAGCTGAAAAGTTTGGAAGCCTTTCTGGAAGAGGTGATGACTGTTTTAATTAGTTGTTAGTTAGTTAGTTAGTTAGTTAGGGGATGTTTTTGCCATATGAATAAAGTTGAGGTCAAAGAAACAGTAGGTATAAAGGCACAAAGACATGAGGACTAGAAGAAGCGAGCGTGGCGGTGCAAGCCCAGTCTAAGAAGCACGGCCCCCTAGAGCCCTGAAAGGAGTTTGCATGTCAGTGTAATAATAGGACGCCAAGTAAGAAGGCAGAAACATTCCAGCTCTGTGTTTGAGAAGGGTTTCCCACAAAGTCTATGCAGAATTCTTGATTCAGGAAGAGAAATTCAGAGGCCATTAGAGGAACCGAGGAGTAAGTATCAAGGACTTGCACTACGGCGACCATGAGTGAGAAAGAAAGATAAGAAAAGATGTTATTTAAAATAGAGTTGTAGCATCTCACAAACTGCACTGGGGAACCGTGACTGAGGGAGAAGGAAAAGTTAGCAAGTCTCCCACTTAACGAATTTGTGACTTTTAGGAAGCATCAGTTCTGGAAAGACAGTTAAGTTCACTTGTAGATAGGTTACCTCTTTTGAATGACCTTCTCTACACAAATTTATACTGGGGATCAGGTGCCTAGTAAGAGGTACATGTTGAAGAGTCATTGGAATCTTATTTTTTTTGAATCTTAGTTATATATACATTAATTAAAAACATAGAGTAAATGAGAAAGTTTGGACTTTTATTCTGCATTCAAAATAGTTTAAATTTTATTATTTAGACATTCCTCGAAGTGGCAACTACTTGTCATGTAGGATAATCTCTTATGATTAGAATAATATCAAAACCTTGCCTATAATGGAGCCTCTTTGATGAATCAATTTTCTAGCACTCTCTTTCTGGAGCACACACTTGGAGCTAACACGTCTAAAAGCTTAGTTTGATCTGTCAGTGAGTGAGAAGAATGCATATACCAGAGTGAGGGTAAGGACTACATGAGAATCTCTGACCTACAGAAAGCCTGGTGGATCTGGGACAGCTGGGAAACATGGCTACTTGCAACTTCATGTTGAAGGTAAACAGAACTACTTCAAAGAAGCTGCAGACTTGTTTTCATTGGCCGTAATTCACCTGTCAACTACAAACCAGTAAAGAATCTCTTGAACAGAAAACAGATACTACACCTGGTAATTGTCAAAGGTTCTTCATAGTTCAGGAAGATGCATAACAGGAAGTTTAGAAACCCTTATTCTGCGTATATAATGCATTCACTCTACAGAATATGTCCATTTGTGATGTTATTAATTTTTACAACTATTCTTATTTCAGGAGATACCCCCCTCACAACACATGGACATACATGCACGCACATATGGTACATATGCTGCACAGACAGAAATGTAACTATATATAGTTTGGACTTGGGACATACAATCAGTTATAGAAGGTGAATGAAAAGAGTGGTATGGAAACCACAGGAGAAAGGAGTTTTAAGAAGGCAGACATGTTCTACCATGTTCAATGGAGAAGGCATCCATTGAGACAAAGCCTGAGTCCGTTCTTTTGTATGGAAACTGTGACCTTTTCATAAAAGAGAAATCAGATGAGAGTTGAGGAGGGAATAAAAGGCCAGGCTCATAGAAAATGTGAGTATAATGTGTATCTCACCCATGACTGACAAGGCTGTGCCACAGAAACTCAAATTTTAGTGGTTTAATACAGCCCAGGTTTATTCTTCATTGTGCTGTGACCAATGCCAGTCAGCAGAGACTGCAGATTATAGTCATGTGGGGTCCAGGTCAAGGAGGAACCATTTCAACACATGGACCTAGCAGTTGCTTCGATAAGAGAAATGAAGCACAGAAACTGCTCACAGGACCTGCCCATTCACTCTTATTTTACTAGCCAAGGCAAGTCACATGACCACACAAGGCAGGGAAGAGCAGTGCTACCATGTGTCCAGAAGCCAGGGAATATGGACAGTTGCAAACAGCCTTCATGAATGGACTGGGTTAGGAGGCTAGCTACAAAGGGTTTTAAGTTTGAGGAAAGACTTGTTGGGTTAATATTTTAAAGACAATGGTCCCATCGAAGTACAATTTTATCATGTTTCATAGTTCATATTTTATGTTTTCATTGTATTTCTCCCCAGCCAACATTATTGATATCTAACCATCCAACCAGAGTATCCTTCCTATTATCATACATTGATTGCGTGTGTCTTGCCCTATCTCAAAACTGCTCAGAATTACGCCATGGATCAAGCTGTCCTTTGATGAGGCTATCTGCCTACTTGAGTCCTGTTATATTTAAGCAAGTGTAAGCTATTTCCCCCATGCAAGAGAAGAAGACAGGGTACACTATGAGACTCCAAAAGATGCCTGAAGCTGTAGATAATACTGAGTAC